AGAAAGTGAGAAATCACCCCCCAGGGGGGATGGCCATGCCGCAATCCCTTCTCCTCCATTCTCCTCTCAGGATCTTGGGCATGCACGCACATGCGCCCGGTGTGAGTTTTATGCCACCGGGTCTGGGACTCGAACCGCGGTTGACTACATGGAAGTCCAGTGACATAGCCATTACGCTAACTGCTGGTCCCCCCCCAAATTTTTTTTAATAGATGAGACCAGCAGATGGCATAGTGGTTACACTGCTGGACTCCCACGTAGTTGAGGGTTTGAGTTCCACACCCAGTGTCTTAAAAACTCATACCAGGCGCGTGTGCATGTGTGCCCAAAATCCTGGGAGGAGATTGGAGGAGAGGGATTCCAGTGTGGTCATCGCCCCTGGGAGATGATTTTTCGCTTTCAGTCTCTGTCTCTCTGGTGAGCGACTGTACCCTATAGCAAAAATCCCTCTCTAAAAAAAAGAAAACAAAACGCTGGTTTAATTGCGCGTGCAGTCAGGAGTACAGGAAGTACACGATGGGGAGGCCCATCCCACTGAGGGAGGCCGCTGTCCACGCAGCAGAATGTAGCATGCAAGCCTGGGGACGTCTGACACTAAGATTCCCATGAACGAGGCCAGGACCACAGGCAGTCCAAGTCCCACTGCACGAGGCCTTCGCCCCTTGACTTCGGTCCACATCATCCTGTATTCCATTCGTCCACTGGGAAGGTGATTTCACCCCTGACCGAAGCCTGGAACTCCCCCCTCCCCACCCCCGCAAGGAGGCCTCTGTCCCTGATGAAGTTGGGGCTCCTGAGAGGAGTTTCCCCCTGAGAATTCGGCCCTCTATTTCACACATCAGAGGAGGTACTCCCAGCCGCCCGGTCCTCCTTATTGGGGCCTTTAAGAGAGGCTCTTGGGACCAGCAGGTGGCGTGGTGGTTCAGGTGCTGGACACTCGCACATGGCCGACCACGGTTCAAGTCCTGAATCTGGTGGCTTGCTTTCTCACTTCCCCTCTCTCTCTCTCTTTCTCTGCCTCTCTCTTGTCAAATTAAAGTACACGAATAAATAAATAAAATTAAAAAAAAGAGAGAGAGAGAGAGGCTCTTCAGGCCGCGGCAAAAGACTTAGACCCCAGCCCTCCCCCAGCGTTGCTATGGAGACGGAGGGCCAGTGGGGGCGTGTGCCGGGAGCCGAGGGGCTCCGGC